CGCCCATTGTGAATTTCATACACAGGTAAATGATAAACTTGTGATAAACTGTGATATAGGGCTATTGAATTACTTGCGCAGCAAATTTTTTATTGATTATCGTGCAAAGTAGTTACGCAATTTGTACGTGCTTCGTATTTGATTCATATTTTAATAATAATCAAAAGTATGTTTAGATTTTTAAGACGAAAGACTGAACTCATCTGCGTTAAATCTTCCACAAATCCTATATTTAGACACAATTACACTTATGTTTATCACTTTATATGTGAAACATCATTAAGTAATTTTCAATAGAAGAATATATTTTTGCCCAATATGGCGGGTGGTTATGCATAATCATGGCATCGTCCATGTTGCCTTTGGTTAATTAGAATATTTAGGTGCTTTCTGCAAGTGTTATACAACAATTTGACAAATCTCGGAAATGAAATACGGACAGAGTGGAATGATTTACCTAGAATTTGTACCAGATCTATATCTCCTCTTTGAACAGTTGATAAAACCTTTTAAACCAATATGCATGTCTTAAAATATTGGTTATGGCATTTTACTTAAAAAGATGACAGCAGAAAGTTAGGTTATGGTGAAGTTGTGTACCAACATATTTAGCAACAAATGTATGCCGAGCACAGCAATTTTGTACCATAAAAGTTGTAATATTGTTGCAGATGTATAGCCTTTAACAGTTACTAATCGACAGTTGTATAAGTGCTTCCGTTGGGAGCAATTTGTTGGCTAAAATAGTGAATGTGCACACCAAAACAACAAGGCTCGAGTTTGTTGTTTAAACGTTACCTTAGGCCCGTATCGTCAGTCGTCCCTACAATTGTAGGGCGCCTTTATGGCCTCCTTGATTGTCATAGTTTTTTACTTCTCCGTGTCAGAACTCTATTTTGAGGTTATGTCACAAACATCTATTTGCATCAAGTTGTGCTTGCTTTTGAGTTATATCATGTTTTATCAGCCTGAAATTTCCTACAATTTAAAAAGAAAACATATCTTCACAGTAGGAGAGCGCTGACGCTGACACGGGACAAGTGTAATCTAGAAATTTTGCCATAAACGCGCCCTACAATTGTAGGGACGACTGACGATACGGGCCTTAGATGCCACAACACAACTATTTTGACTACCGCGTAAATATGCCGTATAAAATAGTTGTATTAACGTTTATGCAACCGTTCAAAATTTGTCCTATAAGGTGCAGGGTGGCCCATAAGTCCTTTGAGCTGGAAAAAAAGGAATAAAACCAAACTAGTTACATTATGAAGAATTATTATATTTTGTTATCATCTTTATTGAATGGGAATTATGTTTTAAAAATCACATCGTCTAAATGCAATCCATTACGATCACGGCACTCATATAAACGACGTCTAAAATTGTCGATGACTGCGCGGCAAGTCAACACTGTAATGCTTGCCATTTCTCTTCGGATATTTTCTTTCAGGACATCAACTGATCGCGGAGTGGTGTCATACACTTTACTCTTGAGGTAGCCCCATAAAAAGAAGTCCATTGGGGTCAAATCTGGACTACGTGGTGGCCAGGAAATGTCTCCTCTTCGAGAAATTACTTTGCTGGGAAAAAGTTGACAGACGACGGGCATAGAAGTGTTGGAGGTGTGGGCAGTTGCTCCGTCCTGTTGAAACCAGGTCTGCGTATTATAGCCTGGAAAATTCTGCAACGCTGGTGTCAAAAACTCTTCTATCATTGCTACATACCGCTCCGAAGTAACAGTTAATGCGCGACCTCTGTCGTCCTCAAAAAAAATAAGGGCCTACGATGCCATGCGCTGACATAGCAGCCCAAACTGTAACTTTAGGGCTGTGTAAGGGCTTCTGATGCTTACGCCTTGGATTTTCGGGGCTCCAATAACGGCAATTTTGTTTATTTACATGCCCGTTTAAATGGAAGTGAGCCTCGTCCGAGAACAACACATTATTGAGCGAAGAAAATCGATTCAACATTTGATTCGCAAAGTTTAGTCTCTGAATAGCGTCATTATCTTTTAATTCCTGCACTAACTGAATTTTGTAAACGTGTTAGACGTAAATCTTTCCTTAAAATCCGCTGTAAAGATGTTCTGGGTACGTTTAGTGCACTGGAACGCTTACAAGTAGACTGGGTAGGATTTTGACGAACAGACTGTGCCACAATGTTGATGTTTTCTTCAATACGAGTTATCCTTGGTCGACCCCACCGCTGTCTATCTAACGTCGAACCAGTCTCTTCGAACCAGTCTCTTCGAACTTAGCAACCCAGTTCTTAATCGTTTGAGCTGTTGGACACTTTGTAAAATTGTGTAAATTGTGGTATTCTCGATATTTACGCCGCGCAATGGTTGCCGAATCATTATTTTGATAAAACGCGCGCACACAAAAAGCACGATCAGCTCCAGTGAAACACTCCATGGCGACTGAATTCCCAGACACTGAAGATACTGCCCCCACCTCGCCCGCGCCGCTCACGCTCACCCGTAAAATTTTATTCAAATTTGGAATTTCAAAGGACTTATGGACCACCCTGTATAAGTATGCTATAAGAATATTTTAAACACCTCATTTTAGAGCAAATATGCTGCAGAAAGCATTCCACATAACATTAAGCCAGCATTTTGGTGTTCAGGCAACAACAATAGAGAGGTTTTACGGCTGAACAGTTCCTTTACCAAAAGCTTATACCACTATTTTGCTAGTTTTGTAGTGTATTCACTCACCTCATTTAGCATTATTCTACTAAACCCCATTCGAGCTGCGAAATCCTCAGGACGAGGGCCTTGATGCAAGAATCGGTGATGTGGTTGTGAATAATGCTTTGGACAGAAGTTCTGCATATATCAGTTTCTGCTCCAATTTGACGTGCACTTAAATGGAGATTTTCCTGCAACTTCAATAAAACCTCCAACTGATTCGCCTCATTGGTGACACTTGAATTATTTATACATTTTTTACTATATTCCACTGCTCCACTTGATTCAAAACGTTCTTGTAGTGTGGAAAATGTTTCCGGCCTTGGATGTCGCATATTAGGTTCCCGTTGCTTATAAATGCGAGATGCTAGGAAACTATTTCTTTGGGCTTCGCCCAAAACGAACACCATATTCTCCATTTCTTCTTTAGAAAAATTGATTTTCAAACACGTTTTTGTTATAGTACTCACAAAGCTAACTTTGAGAGTTTGTAACTATTCAACAATTTATTTGTTTCCTAGGATGATGCGATATTTTAGAGAATTATGCCGTTCCATAATAACAGAAAAAATAGCCGTAAAAACACTTATGTGTCTTGTATCAAAAAAAGCTTATAAAATATTGATTCCAAACTTGCACAAATATACAGGGTGATGCATTTGAAATTTTTGAGAAAAGCTACAATTTGCAAAAATTGAAATTCGAAAAAGTAACAAAGGTTATTTCAATCTTCTTCTTTTGAATTGGTTTAACCAAAAATGCAATAAAATTTGTGCCATTCCATTTGAAAAATCACAACTTTGATATGTAGGTCGAAATTGGGACACACTGTATAATGGCCAATATTTTACAAATATGCCCTCAAATGTCATATATAACATGCCATAAATAGATTTTTCCAAAATGTATTTGTTTATGAGTAATATTCCGTCCACACATCGATAAGCCATGCACCCTGTATATGTGCGCCATCGCATAAACGGCGAGAAATGCAGCAATATGAGATGTTACGAATTGTAATTCATAAAAGTAGATGTTACCGAATATCTGTGGGTGATAGAAAAATTCTGTTTTTAGATTTGATTTAAGGGTCTTAGAATACATAAGATACACCCAAAAATTGCCATGTCGTCACAAATCCTGTGTTTATCAGTGTTATTGACGAAAGTTAAATGGATAAGTCAAGTTTTGTTTTAGATGTATCTCCGTATCACCTGTTAAAACAACGTCGATAACGGTTTATCGATATTTCTTCCTTATTATTATTAATATTATTATTAATAAACTGTGAGGGTTATTTGAAATTTCCATATTTCAGAACGCAGACAACACAAATTGTTTTATTTATCAGTGGCACGATTAAATATTTACATAAAAAAACATCTGCAGTAAATAAAAATAATGATGTAGACTGTAGAGAAATAAATCAAAAAGGCTCATGATATCTTTAAGGCTGCTCGGACGCAGTGAGTTTCAAGCCATATACTGACACTCCATTTTTCAATATTTTTGAATGAAATTCATACAGTATTGTAGTATATTGAATGAATAAAAGATCTATTCCCCCGCTGGGTGAACGACGGAGACGGAGTTGCCGTCTTATCAGCGAGTCAGTCGGTCGAGCACACCCGTCGGGAGAAGGTCGTACCGAGATATCTGTGTATCATTGTGTGACTGGAAACGAACGTAAATAATAATATTATTTACACGACACTACATATTGGCGACGAGGACAAAAGGTATGCGGGTACATTTACTCCTCAATTAAAGTATTGATCAAGGTACTTAAGATTAAGTGTCAAAACACGTAGAAAAGGCAGAAAAGATAAACTGCGAGTGAAAAAAAAAAGTTGTTTTGATAATCTATGAATATGACACAGCACTAAGCAAAGAATAACTTTCATGAATATGATACATGGAAGAAGTAACCATGAATATGATACATAGGTTGCATAAAGTATAATTTTGATGGATCAGATACATCAAATCAGTGATTATGAATATGATACATAACACTGTATAACTGGTGAATAAGAAACACCAAAGTCAAGACGAACGACCTCGATGAATAGGACACATCGAACGTTGAATGTATATGTATGTGTTGGGCTACTTTGATGAATAAGATACATCAAGGCATGAATATGAATATGATACATAACACTGCGTAGCTTTGCTGAATATGACACATATATGAACAAAGAATGAATTTGGCTTATAAGATCCATCGATCCTAAAATGTATATGCATACAATGTGAGTTTTGTTTACACAATAGTAGCAATTACATTTAATTTCAGGCCATCATGTCAACATTAAACTCGTTGGAGCCTTTTGACTGCGATGGACAAGTTTGCTCGGTAGCTGTCAGATGGCAAAAGTGGAAAAGAGCACTAGAAGTGTATCTAGAAGCAGCTAACATCGACAGCCCCGCTAAGAAGAGAGCAAATTTGCTACACATCGGTGGGCTAGGGTTACAAGAAATATATTACAACCTACCTGGAGCTCATATTTCTGAACAAACCGAAGACGTTGAAAATCCAGTGAATGTCTACGAGATAGCTATAAGAAAGCTAGATGAATATTTCGCACCAAAACAAAGCAAGGTGTACGAAAGACATGTTTTTCGGCTAATAAAACAGGAGATGGATGAAAAGTTCGAAAAATTCCTTGTGCGGCTGAGAAATCAGGCAGAGAAATGCGTATTTAGCAACACCGAAGAAAACATTATAGACCAAATCGTTGAAAAATGCAGCTCATCTGACCTTCGGAAGAAAATATTAACAATTGGAGACTCCATCTCATTAGAAAACATTCTTGCTGAAGCAAATGCATTGGAAGCAGTATCAAGACAAATGGAAGAATTTGCTGAAAAGAAAACAGGCATTGAAGTGAACCAAATAAACAATAATACTAAACAAAAATTTAGAGCCTCAGAGATAAAATCATGTTTTCGTTGTGGCTCAAAAGGCCACATATCTTTTAACTGTCCAGCAAGAGAGAAAATTTGCAAGAAATGCGGCTACAAAGGACACGTCAGCAAGCAGTGCAGAACTAAGCCGGGGAAAAGAAGAACACACTATGAGAGCACAACGGTCAAGAAATCAAGATACAGAGAGCCAGACAAGGACGACGACGATCACAACACAAACTATGTGTTCCACATTGACAATGATTGTGACATATTATGTATGATTGGAGGTATACCAGTTCAGATGGTAATCGATTCTGGTAGCAAGTGTAACATATTAAATGACGAAACATGGACGTACCTAAAGAATTCGCAGGTATCGGTGTCAAATCAAATAAAATGACCCAAGAAAATTCTCATGGCTTATGCTAGTAAAGAACCCTTAACTATTCTTGGGTGTTTTGATGCTGAGATTAAGGTAAGCGAGTTTGTAACTCGGACGACTTTTTACGTAGTACAAAATGGTACGAGAAACCTTTTAGGAAAAGATACAGCGAAGTCTTTAGGTGTCCTACGGATTGGAATTTCTGCTCAATCAGAGGTTAATGCCATATCTGCTTTTCCCAAGTTTAAAAATGTTGTAGTCGATATTCCCATTGATCAGAGCATAAAACCAGTGATTCAGCCATATCGCAGGATACCAATCCTCCTTGAAACCAGAGTGCTTAAAAAAATTGAGGAAATGGTAAATTCAGACATAATTGAACCAGTAGATGGCCCTTCCAGATGGGTATCACCTATGGTACCTATTCTAAAACCAGATGGGGAAGTTAGACTTTGTATCGATATGAGAAGAGCAAATATGGCGATACTAAGAGAAAATCATCCATTACCAACAATGGATCAGATGATGCCAAACTTCAGAAAAGCAAGACTTTTTTCAAGGCTGGACGTAAAAAATGCTTTCCATCAAATCGAAATTAGCGAAGCATCGAGACCTATTACTACATTTATATCCAGCAAGGGTCTTTTCAGATATAAGCGTTTAATGTTTGGTATTTCGTGTGCCCCAGAAATTTTCCAAAAAATAATGGAACGCATTCTGACTCACTGCGAAGGAACTGTAAATTTTATAGACGACATAGTCGTATACGGCGAAAACGAACTGGAACATAATAGAAGATTGAAATTTACACTCAATATTTTGAAAGAAAACAATGTCCTTCTCAATGAGAATAAATGTGTTTACAATATTGCTGTCATAAAATTTCTGGGACACGAACTATCAAGACAAGGCATCAAGCCGCTTGATAAATACATATCGGTAATCAAAACTTTCCGATGCCCGGAAACTGTGGACGAGTTGCAGAGTTTTCTAGGACTTGTTAATTATATAGGTAAATGGATCGCTAATTTAGCGTCTATGACAGAGCCTCTAAGGAAATTATTGCGACTAAAATTAGCAAAACATGCAAATATATCCAAATATTTTAAGGATGAACAAAAATGCAGTTTTAACCTGTTGAAAGAATGCTTGTGTAAAATTAAATCGTTAGGTTACTATGACCCTAAAGACAGGACTCAGGTTATAGCCGATGCAAGTCCTGTAGGGCTGGGGGCTGTCCTAATACAGTACGATTCAGAAGGGCCAAGGGTAATTGCTTATGGGAATAAAAGCTTGTCTGATTGTGAAAAAAGATATTGTCAAACAGAGAAAGAAGCCCTGGCATTGGTCTGGGCAGTTGAACATTTCCATATATATCTATATGGAAAGGACAAGTTCGAGTTGGTTACAGATCATAAACCGCTCGAAGTAATTTTTAGTATGAAATCAAAACCTTGTGCCCGAATAGAGCGTTGGGTTTTGAGGCTACAGTCGTACAACTTTGTAGTTATATATCGTCCAGGTAAAAGCAATATTGCCGATCCCCTCTCCAGGCTTTGTAAATTAGCACCAAAAGAAAATTATTTGATGAGGGGGAGCATATCCATCAAATTGTAGAATATTCACGACCCATGGCATTATCATTATCACAAATCAAAGAAAAATCCAACACCGACGAAGAAATTCGGAAGGTTTACAAAATGATTTACTCAAACGAATTCGATGAAAAAACGAAACCCTTCCAAGCATTCATACCAGAGTTGTGTTTCTATGACAACATCCTTCTGAGAGGAACCAGAATAGTGATTCCTGCTGATTTAAGACTTGCAGTTCTTCAAGCAGCCCACGAAGGCCATCCCGGAATAGTGGGAATGAAGAACCGTTTACGTACTAAAGTTTGGTGGCCCAAAATGGACACAGATGCAGAGAAGTTCGTAAGAGCCTGTAAAGGGTGTACGTTGGTATCTATACCAAATGCGCCCACCCCAATGAAGCGACGTGAACTACCTACAGAATCATGGATTGATGTGGCGGTAGACTTCCTAGGCCCTCTACCGAGTGGCCATTATCTATTTGTGGTCATCGACTACTTTAGTCGTTATAAAGAAATAAAAGTTATGAAGTCCATAACAGCATCTAATACAGTTAGCTGCCTCAAAGAAATCTTCTCTAGGCTAGGTTTCCCAGTTTCGATTACAGCAGATAATGGGAAGCAATTTATTTGTGAGGAAATCACACAATTCTGTAAGGATGCAGGAATTAAGGTATATAACACGATACCATACTGGCCCCAGCAGAATGGACAAGTCGAGCGACAGAATAGAGACATTTTAAAAAGGCTCAAAATCAGTCGAATACAGAAAACCGACTGGAAGCAGGACCTGTTGGATTACCTAATGATGTATAACGCAACACCACATACAACAACAGGAAAACCACCAGCAGAACTTTTCTTTAGGAGGCAATTCCGAGACAAAATACCAGCAATTCCAACTTTGAACAGTTCTATCGTAGACGAAGAAACTCGAGACAATGATTTGATGAACAAATTTTGGGGCAAGAAATACAGCGACGCCAAAAGAAAAGCAAAAGCGGATGACATCCGAATAGGAGATAAAGTTTACGTAAAAAATACAGTAAAGGAAAATAAGTTGGTACCAAATTTCAACTCAACCCCTCATACGGTGGTAAAGAAAAATGGTAGTGACGTCCAAGTAGAAAACGACGAAACTGGCCAGCAATACAGACGTAATGTCGTCCATTTAAAAAAGACAGAGGGGCAATGGAAAGTAATAAACACTGCAGGGGATGAGGAAACTTCACTTGAGCAAAATAATGAACACCATACTTAAGTCGTAACATTGTACATTTCACACAGGCCATTAAATAAAATTATATACTTTCAGCTAGGTATTAAGTTGTCATTGTTAGTTAGTAAGGTAGTACTTTAGTTGTTAAATGCATTCAAACAATATAGGGTAGTTATAACTGATTTGTTACTATATATGTAAAATAATGTAAACAAAGAAGGGATGTAGTATATTGAATGAATAAAAGATCTATTCCCCCGCTGGGTGAACGACGGAGACGGAGTTGCCGTCTTATCAGCGAGTCAGTCGGTCGAGCACACCCGTCGGGAGAAGGTCGTACCGAGATATCTGTGTATCATTGTGTGACTGGAAACGAACGTAAATAATAATATTATTTACACGACACTACAAGTATGTTCAAAGACAATTGCCCAATGTGATATCGGAGCACTTTTTGATATGTTGTTTTTGCACAAGATTTATGGTGGGTCGGATTGCTTACTTTTTTTTGTTGAACTTCGTGATTCTTTTAAGTAGAGCCTAGTGGGAAGAATGAAAAAGTCGCTCGATGGTACCTTGAAGGGTCTCCAGTTCATTCGAAAATATTAAAAAATGGAGAACAAAGCTCTACAAATCGGATTTTGTACGAATTTTCTCTACTGTTTCGTGGTGCCAGCCCAAGCGACCTGGTGTTATGTACGGATTAAGAAAGGACGTATTCAGATAATGGTGGCTCTTTTTCATATAATATCGTGTATGTAAGTTATTCTTCAAATAGGTGTTCATAATAGCGATCGCTGATGCAAAGTACATGTTCGTAACTAGTTACGTAAATGTAACTTCTGAGCTTATGCCCCGGTTGTCTCTGTGATCTATCTATCTTACACTGGCCAATAAATGAAACCTAAGATGGTGAATATAGTGATTTCCAGAAGTTTAGGCTGCTAAGATGTTATGTTATTTAGGTCTTTTATGACATCTACATCGCGAAAAACTATATCACTCATTTTCGTCTGTCAGTCTGCTAATTTTTTGCCCGTTTATAACTTCGAAATTACCGCTCCGATTTTTATGAAATTTCCACTACGATCCCTAGGGTTTGTAGTTTCAGTCCAGTGGCGGCGGCGCTATAGGCAAAAAACGAAAAAGGTAACAATCGCTGGAACTCCGTTTTTGACGTTTCAGTAGTTCCTAATCATTGACATAAAAAAAATTGTAGTGCTTAAAAAGTAGGGGTTAGGGGAATGTGATATTAACTGCTGCATGTTTGATATGTGAAACACGTTCTATAATTAAGAAGCTTCTGATCCCACTAATTACAGAAAATTTAAATGAGGAAAATCCGACGATTTGAAAAAAAAACGGTAGCTGAGTTATAGGTTTGACATCGAGAGCTAATGGAGATTATTAGGGCTAGATCGCCAATCGAAATCCGATTCTGTTATTATGGAAATCTACCCCGGTACGCGCCCGCGGTCATCCTTTCCTTTTTTAAAGTAACGCCGATGACCTTCTAAGACCAGCTCACTGAGGTTTCCTTTTCATCCCTCCGTTATGACAGGAGATCGTCCTCGTGATCGTGGGAGCCGCCTTAACTACTTCCTAGTCCTGTTCAATCTTACGCCATTTCTCTCCGGCTCATCCCTCTTCCACATCCAGCATCTTTGTAACATGTGAAACAAAGAATTCCATCTTGTTGGGACTTCTAGAATTAGCTTCAATGGATTTTTTCCCAGGTTTTCCTAATATTTCATGAGCTTGTTATTTGAAATGGTACTTTTTTTAAAGTGACTGACTATTTCTCTGATTTTTTCTAAAACGCTTAATATTTCATCATTCTTTATACCATCTTTGACAATTAGGTTAATAGTATGTGCAACACATCCCATATGTCTCCAGCCGATTTGCTGCAAAGCCTTCTGTATATTTGGAGCATTATCTGCTACAGCAAAGATAACCCGATTTTCGATTTGCCAATCTCTTGTAACCCTTTTCATATCTTCAGCGAGATTCTCAGCTGTGTGACGCATGTCAGTTGCGGAACATTCCAGGAGTATCGACTTAAAATTGAATTCGCTGTCCAAAAAATGTGCTGTTACACCAACATAGCTAACGTTGTTAATTGTTGTCCAGGCATCTGTTGTAATACAAAACGTTCTGCCAGTATTTATTATTGTTTTGGTATTAGTGAGACATTCTTCATATAAAGCAGGGATCAGAGTTTTAGAAATGATATGTCTACTTGGCAGCTCATATGAGGGATTCAATGCTAATACGAATTCTCTGAATCCAATATCATCTACTACTGAAAAAGGTTGAATGTCTTTAATAAATAAGCCAAGCAACTTTTTATCTAAATTATGTTTGCTTCTAACAGATATTTTTGGAGGCACACGGAAATAATTGTCGACCCTGGTTTGATCTTGATGTGACTTATTTGTTGAACTTTTGACTAAAGCCGTTCGACCTTCCACGCAATTAACTGATGAAACTTCTGAAGTAGATGGACGATCGTTATCAATACTTTCTTTATTCTAAAATAAAGCATATAGGTAAGTAATATGTATTTTTTATTATTGAATAATGACAGTGTTGCAATACCTGGCTATTTTCTTTATGTTGGGTTACCACTGTTGACCTCTTGCTTTCCAAAAAAGTGATTGTGACCGTAGAATGTTTCTTTTGTATGTGCTTTTTTAAATTTGATGAGCTCGTCTTATATGAAAGGTTTGATTTACACATAGTGCATATTGCATGACTTTCGTCTATCGGATCAAAAAATTTCTATATTTCACTCGTTTTCTTTTTAGCCGAGACGGAGGCCATTATTTATTTACATATGCGTAGATGACGTAACTCTTAAAATTATATTGAAACTTAAAACTTTTAGTAATTAAAAATGGATCAGATGATGCAATTTAATACAAAAATAAATAAAGATCAACATAAGCTCTTCCAAAAAAACAAATATACTTAACCGTATCGCTTATCGGCCTAAATCATGCAAATCACATTTTTAAGGTTCACGATATTCTATAAAATGTTACTGTTAATCACATAACGATCTATTAAACTTTCCAGTGCCAGTATTTTAAATCGCCGAGTAGCAACTAGCAACCAACCAACCAAAGAGAACGAAGACCACAGTGTCAACAAACTTGAATTTCGTTTATCGCCATAAGGATAACAAGGGAAATTAAGCGTGCCGCGCCTTAAGGAATCTCTGTCTCACTCTCACCGTCTCCCACCCAGCGGCAGGGCGAGAGATTGTGGGTTGTGCCGTGTGACTGTGATCGAGTCACACTTTAGAACGAGTTTTGGTAACAGTTGTGACTTGTGAATTCTCGATATCTATGACTAAATCACAGTTCGTGAAATATCGCTCATCACTAGACCCGAGCATTGACTGGAAGCCATTTAGTTCGAGTTGCCAAAGTTCATCACCGATGACATAATTTGGCACGAACATGTATTATCAATTGTAACAACTGCTGGGAGAAACCTGCATATCTGTTTGGGTCAAATAAGTAGGTGCTTTTCACTATGTTTATGACCTTTTCACTCAGTACAAGACCTAGGTAAACTTTAGTTTGCAGTAGGGCGCACTTGTCGAGAGCCTTGCTGCTTCGACTTTTGACATTTTATCGAAATATGTTAACTAACGTTGCTCCTCTGAGTTCACCTTCATGACGTCAACCTCTAGCCTACCAAGTTAACCAACCATGCTTTTGTTCCTAATTCTAACTCTGTCAAAGTCTGTTCACAGGTAAATGTTCTGTTCTTGATGTGTCGAAAATAAGAAGCAGGTAATTTTCACAGTTTTCGAAACTAAAATTAAAAGTCAACACGTTATTTTCTACTGCTGAATAGTAGTTGCGGTGCTCCGATTGCTTAGACTTTGCCCTTGCGGCTACTTTAATATTGTCATGAAAACACCGTTCTTACTGTTTAAAGCCCAATTTATTACTATAACAAAAATATATAACACTTCATAACTATGTCGACTGGACTATTATTCCATCTTAATTCTGCATTCGCTGTCAACAGACTCAACTGTGACCATGGTGACGCATCGGCCGCCGCTCGTTGACTAACTGTTCTTCCGCCACCTCTGCCTAAATTTATTCCTCTGTCGACGAGTCGAGATATGTTCCAGCGTCTTTCAGGCTGAGTCGCGATGGCGGTAGATACATCTCGAACCTCGGCCTAAATTTCTAGGTATCGCCGCAAGCACTCACGCACCGGCGCCAGTCAAGGTTTAGTTACGAGGGCGATACACCATAAATAACAATAATTGTAGAACAATCATAATAGGTTATAGTCGATATAATTCTAATTGAAAAAGCTAAAAGAACGTGGATATGCCCAGAAACTGTGAAATCCTAGATGTCTGGGTAAAGGTAAACACCTACGTATGTTTATTAGAATTCAAGAATTTTTTACATATCTATTTATCTTGCCATGAACAACAAGTGATATAATGGTGAGGATTTCTCAGTTTAGCCTTTTTTTATTATCGCCCACACTGTGTACTACCTCTCACAGCTGAACATTGGCATAACCGTTTGCTCTGGTGTAGAGAAAAAATTCTATGGGGCCGGGAATGGAATCAGGTGGTCTTTAGTGACGGATCCCGCTTCTGTCTAGGGATGCACGGTGGTCGGGTAAGAGTGAGTGCTGAAAGACGTGACCCACAATTTGTCAGAGAGCGTCACGATCACCACACCGTGAGAGTTATGGTATGGGGTGCTATTGCTTATGGTAGCAGATCACCATTAAGTTTCATCGGAGGCAATATGAAAGCCCGACGCTATATTCCGGAAGTAGTGGAGCCTCATTTTATTCCATGCCTAAACACCATCCACCGATTTTTCAACAAGACAATGCCAGACCGCATGCTGCCAAAGCATCGTTCAACCGTTTACCTTGACCACCACTATCGCCTGACCTATCTCCAATTAAACATGTCTGGGACATGATATGTCGCAGGCTCTTGAATTTACGCTCCACAGACTTTAGCAGTTCTTACTCACGAAGTTGCAGTAGCCTGGAATGAGATACGCCAACAGGATATCGACCACCTTATGTGTGGATCCTCAAAACATTATTGAACCAGCTTCGGCAGTCAGTTGACGAATCAAGCTGAAAATTTAGTCAATTTACTAATAAGCAACACTGAACATAATGCCAAAAATTATTAAAAAAATATTGTTGGTAGGCACTAAAAAAGTGTTTATCTCATTTTTTACCAAAAAGTGACTTAAAGCATCAGTTTCCAGGAGTTGGCTTGCAATATGAGTATAAAGTTAATTTTTCTGCATTCTAATATTGATCACTTTCCTGAGAGCCTTGGTGCCGCCAAGCCAGAGTAAGGTGATGAGCATTTCCAACAAGATATAAAGGTTATGGATGACAGATACCAAGGAAGGTGGGTTGCACACATGGGAGAGAAAAACATTGAACATGAGTTTATGAAGAAGTAGAAAACGATGCCATAAGTCTTTTTGATTCAGTTAGTCTCTTCTGCATTTTTTTTAACTAATACTACTTCTACCACTTAAACAATTAATTATACATACAATATTTTTGGTTATTTCTTGAAAATTGTTGAAAATTTGTCAAATGTGCATGTCTTTTAATAAAAATGAATCTCCATCACGTGCTAGAAAAGAACAAACAGATCTGAATTTCAACACCATATACATAGGTAGCTAAGAAATGACATGGTCATTGAAAGGGCGACGGAAAAGTAAAATTTCGCAGATCAGGGGTTTGTAAATCAGTAGATAATGTAATACCGTACATATAGTAATGGAAAGTAGATTGACAGTTGAAATTCTATTCTGGTACTTTATTTTTAAAGCGCTTAAATTATTACAGAGTCATGTAATGACCACGTTTTTTGCGACCATTGAATAAGACACGGGGATACGGGGTAGCATTTATCATGGAAAATATACATTCTGCCATTTTTGAGCAGTTTCTGATAACCAAGTCAAATAAACAAACAATTATCAAATCCAAGCGAATAACCAAAATTTCTGTGTTATGTGCCGCGGTTATAATATGGTTCAAGATGACACACGGGTTGATGACGTCAGTTACACGAATCGCTTGAACGCGTTGGTTTTAACCGCGGTTTTGTTGCAACTTGTTTATTTTAGAAAAGCGCGTATATAATCTCTGATTCTTTTTATTATCACTTAATAATCGGTGCTTTTTCGTCTACAACTGTATATGGAAAGTTTAAATAAGAAAGCTTTCATAATATTCATGGGAGAAATGTTTTTTTCAGATTTTTTTTTAATGATGGAACCATGGCTTTGTAGCTATGATAACTTTCAATTCTCTAAATTTTTCCGCATGTCAAAGAAAACATTTATTGATTCAGCAGAAATGATGAAAAAAAAATTAGCAAAACCGTATACAGGTGGATATCATCTAGTGAGTTTATATGGCCATATTTTAATATTCTTGTGGTATATGGCTACACAGGATACTTTGTTAAGCATAGGAACTACATTTAAAGTGTCCCCAACAACCGTAATGAGTATAACTAATAAGGTGGTCCACTTTATGGTAAAACTGAAGTCAGCCTGTATCATTTTTCTCAAAAATGAAGCTGAAGTACAATAACAATATCCAATACCCGGCAAAATTCTAACTTGTCACATTTCAAATAATAACCAGAAATATAAAACTACTCTTGAGTTGGGTAAATACCACAATTTTGCGGTGATAACTATGACATATAATAGCTGATTCGTGACGTCACGGATCTTATAACCAAACTGATAACTACACTCGCTTGAACGGATTGGTAAATACCAACCCAAAATGGTAAATACCATTTCCATTTGGTTATCCGCTTGAATTTGATTAATGAACCATGTGAATGACAATTGACAGAACTCTTATTCCCAAGGTTTTGAACTCGGGAAGAAAAGCATATTTTTGACATTTCACAAGGATTAAGGTAGTATCAGACACAGCTTTTACTGCGCAGTTTTTTAGCAGCTGCTGCAAAAGTTGCGTATTATGTTCACAGATAAGCAGAAAGTAGCGTGAAATGCGCAGTTTTCATGCTGCGGCTACCTCCAAAAGTTGCAGGTCGAGAATAAAAGCTGCGCGGGTGTTCAGACCCAAGCGCTACTTTTGCAGCATTCGTTTGCAGCCGCAGTTTTTCTTATACGGCGCAGACTGTTCTTGGCGTAGTGAAGATTGTGTCGAAGGAAAGCAAAGACGTAGACAAGACAAAAAAACAGAATCTGGGTACAAGACTAGATAAGGAAGCACGAACAATACGGGACAGTTAATAACTTATTGACTGAACTGCGCGAACAAGACGAGTGCAAATATAAAAAATTTTTGCGCGTGGAAAAAGCAGATTTTGATTATCTCTTAGAAAAAGTGATTCCACGAATTAGGAAGCAGGATACTCAGATGAGACAAGCTATTACACCAAAGGAGCGCTTAATTATAACTTTACGACATTTGGCAACAGGAAAGTTAATTTTCAGATATTAAGTATAGTATGTCCATTTGGCATTGCTGCAAAAATATGTTAAATCATGTATAAATAAGTAAGAAATGATAAAAATGCATGATGGACTATCGAAGCGTAAATGAGTCATCAAAATACTTGTTTTGGTTGCTTCACATTATTGCCATAATAATTGTCTCAAAACAGTTGGCCACCTGTAATGAAGTGAGATACTTGACAAATTAGGGGAAATTTCTCGAATTTTTTTCCTGCCGAAGGCG